TGAAAGAAAAAAATATTCCATAGTATTTTTTTTTTTTAAGCACAACAGGCAAATCTCAAGGCTAGACAGCTCTGCTGAAGGATCTGAGAATGCTCTGGCCATCTCAAACCAGCAAAAAATCTTTAGAAAGCAAATCCACATTCTTAATATTGGTCCTGGCATGAATATGACACTATAAATCAACATTCTAAATTGAGAAGAGATGGGAGAACATGTGTGTTTTTAGCTTGAAATAGCAGATTAAAAGTAAAAACCTCAACTATCCCTGTACCACAGACTCTCAAAGTTGGGCTCAGCTTTTGCACATCTTTATTTAATGGTTAACTGTACTTAAACAAGAGAAAAGAAGTCACATAATTTAGGGTAACAATGAAAAGCTGCCTGGATGTAGGCCTCCTTTGTGTAATAAAGACCTAAGGTCATCCTCAGAAAAGTTGGAGATATTATTATAAAGCATATGCAGTTTTACAGCCTGCTTTTTTCCACATGAATTTCCCATGTTGTTTGTTGTTGTTATTATTTATTTTTTAATTTTTTTGAGACAGAGTCTCGTTTCTTGCTCAGCGCTAGAGTGAGTGCCATGGCGTCAGCCTAGCTCACAGCAACCCAAACTCCTGGGCTCAAGCAATCCTTCTGCCTCAGCCTCTCAAGTAGCTGGGACTACAGGCATGCACCACCATGCCCACCTAATTTTTTCTATATATACTTAATTGGCCAATTGATTTCTTTCTATTTTAGTAGAGGACAGGGACTTGCTTCTGCTCAGGCTGATTTCAAACTCTTGACCTCGGAACCTAATCCTTAGCACTCTGGGAGGCCGAAGCGGGCAGATTGCTCAAGGTCAGGAGTTCGAAACCAGCCTGAGCAAGAGCAAGACACCGTCTCTACTAAAAATAGCAAGAAATTAATTGCCAACTAAAAATATAGAAAAACATTAGCGGCATGGTGGCGAATGCCTATAGTCCAGTACTCAGGAGGCTGAGGCAGAAGATGTGGCCTAGGAGTTTGAGGTTGCTGTGAGCTAGGCTGACACCAGGGCACTCTAGCCCTGCAACAGAGTGAGCCTGTCTCAAAAATAAAAAAACAAAAACCTCAACCAAATGGATAGAATAACTATTACCTTCTCTTGGTGGATACTTGTTATCTACAAATAATGCTACACTAACATCTTTGTATACAAAGTTTTATCTCATTTTAACTACATCGTCAGGAGAGAATCACAGAAATGGCAACAACAGGCAAATGATTACTGATCTTTAAAGCTTTGAAATATATGACACAAATGCATTTCCAAAGTTCACAATCGCCCAACTAAGATGTAAGATGCATAACTGCACAGAATATACAGTTAAAATAAATTCACTTCAAATGGTAGATGGTTATGTCAATGAATAAATGTAAACTCCCTGAATACCAAGCTATGGCTTACACCTGCCCCCCAGACATATTCATTTGCCCATGCCACTGAAAAGCTGGGAGATTTTTACCTACGAATGTAGATTTCCATAACCCTCATGGAAACTAGCAACGGGAAGGAAGAGTCAAATAGCAAACTAGTGGTTGCTAGAGTGGGAGATGGGGACTGGGAGGTGGGAGAAGTATGGGAGTGATAGTTAAAACATATGGAGTTTCTTTTTGGGAGCAATAATTGACTGTATGATGGTTGCATATATTTGTGAATACACTAAGAACTACTGAACTATATGCTTTAACTGGGTGAATTTTATGGTATGTGAGCCATATCTCAAAAAAAACTATCAAAGAAATACATTTTTCTCACATCTGCTTAGTAAATAAAATATACTGGTGAAGGGGGCTTCTGTGGTGCTGGTAATATTCTAATTCTTGATTTGGGTGGTAGTGACAAAAGTGAATTATTTTGTGGTAATTATTGGTGTACTTTTCTGTGAAAAGGTTATACTTCAAGTACCAGTCCATAAAAATATGGACAGATAGTATGCTGGTGACAGTGTGTAGATAAAACAAACCTCATACTTTGTTACTGGGAGGTAAGTTGACAAAACCTCTTAGCTATGTAAACTGCAGATTTATAAGCATAAAAACACATATACTTTGTCCAAACGTATATACTCATATGTATATAAATGTATATACCAGATCTTTATGCAATCTTGTCTCTAAGAGAAAAGGTGTAGAAAAACTCTAAAACCCATTAGCTGAGCATAGGTGTGAATAAATATGGTACAATTATACAGGGAATAGTATTTAGCTATTTAAATGAGGCAATTTACATGTACTGAAATGATACTATCCTCAAACTCAAGAGTTACATGAAAAAAGCAAGGTGCACAGAAGAGCATACTGTGTATCCAGTATGCCACTCTACGTGGGAGGAAATAAAACTAAGGTGGTGGGGGATATTTACACACACATGCAACACATCATATTCCCAAAGAATATCTTTAGAAGGACACAAAGAAACTAATATCACAATTGCTTCTGAGGAGGGATCAGTGGGAAATTGGGGGAGAACTTTTCACTTTGTATCTTTAAAACAATGTGGATATATTATCGATTCAATAAATTAATTCTTCTAAAGTAAAAACTAAGCTGCTTCAAAACAGGTGAATGCCACGGAGCTTCTAAAAGTTAAAATCATGAAATGTCTACTATAAATTCTCAATAACTTCCTGTTTCCCATTTTAAGAGTTACATCTCAAACCATAAAGTAGTAGTAATAGTAGTAGTAATAATAAGTAGCTACTTCATCAACACCTCCAAACAAGTCAAAAATAAAGTATTTGGATAAGTGGTTTCTTGGGTAAGTTTCCTGTCTTCAGTAACAAATGCCATACTCCATGGAGAGAAGAGGAGAAATTTCCTAGTTTAAAAGGTACATAGAGACATTCCATATAAGTAATCAACACAGACCACACACTAAAATACCGTTTGAGCACAAAGATAACACCCCAGTGAACCACACTTCCTAGTATTCAGGCCCCTGCAGAGCCCTTTTCCATGCTGAACTTAGGCTGATGTGACTTGCTTCAACTAACAGAACATGGCAGAAGTGACACTATGCCATCTCCAACATAAGCCTCCTTTTAGCTTTTGCCACTTTGGAACCCAACTGTCATGCTGTGAGAAGTTCAACATAGCCACGTGGGGAAGCCACAGGGAAGAGGGCAAGACTGATACCCTTCGCTGATCTCCACCTGATGGCCAGCACCAACTTGCCAGGGATGTGAGCGAGGCCATTTTGGACATTCCAAATATCTCAGTACCCCACCCAACACCACATGAAGCAGAACAACCACTTAATCAACCAAGAATTGTGAGAGATAAATGGTGCTTGTTACTTCAAGCTACTAGGTTGTTACGGTGACTGGCTCTGCAGCAACAACCAAATCACTGCTCAAATATCACCTGCTGCAGGAACCCCCAGCCAGAAACAATCTGATGTTCTAAACTCCCAAAGCAATTTAAAACTCATTTGTGGCATTTAGCACTTTTACTTGTACCTATTCACAAACCTATGTTATTTCTTCCCTACACTAAATGCTCCTTAAAGATAAGACTGGGACATATTCTATGTATTCCCCACAGGTCCCTAGATACTGCAGGTATTTGATATGGTAGACACAGAGTAGCAGTTCTCAGATTTTGGGGCCATAGAATCCCGTTCATGTGGAACAAGGCTAAGAGAAAAAAATTCTTACAGAAAAACCCAGAATGTGGTAAGGTCAAGTAAGTATTTGTTGAATGAATAAAGAAATAATGATCACATAGCAAGGACTCGAAAATTTCCAATTAACTTCCCTCGCCCTAATCTCACCTCAATCTCATATCTCAGAAATTCTGCAGGAATCAAATAATGTGGAATGTTTTGCAAAACATTCTTAAAGAAGTATAAAAGCTATAATTTCTATCACTCAGACTGTGAGAAGATTAAGAATATGTTTTAAAAGTAAAGAGTAAAGCTTGTTTAGTTTCTATTATATTTTTTTTTTGAGACAGAGTCTCACTTTGTTGTCCAGGCTGTAGAGTGATGCTGTGCTCAGCCTAGCTCACAGCAACCTCAAACTCCTGGGCTCGAGTGATCCTTCTGCCTCAGCCTCCCGAGTAGCTGGGACTACAGGCATGCGCCACCATGCCCGGCTAATTTTTTTTATATATATATCAGTTGGCCAATTAATTTCTTTCTGTTTATAGTAGAGACGGGGTCTCGCTCTTGCTCAGGCTGGTTTTGAACTCCTGACCTTGAGCAATCCCCGCCTCGGCCTCCCAAGAGCTAGGATTACAGGCGTGAGCCACAGCGCCCGGCTCTATTATATTTTACAATAACTTACTATGTGACATAATCAAAACCTCACCTCTGAATAACACTATGTCATTTAGTTCATTATGATCAAATATAACTTACATGGGTTTAACTGCAGCTAGAGCTGTTGGCTCTATATTCAAATTTGGGCCAGCCCCAAGCTAAAGTTTAGATAAGGTAACTCCACATCTACTGAATTAGAAATTTTAGGGGAGGCCCAGCACTCTGTGCTTTAACAAACCCTCCAGGTGACTCTGATACACACTCCTGTAATGTCTTTGCATTGTTTTCCATCCATCTCCCAACTATCAAACTTAGCCCCTTCAATCTTCTTATGTTAGTGATAATTTTCAACAACCAGAAGGCCCTTTCCATGAGCCTTCAGTAATATGGGATCTTTTAAATTCTGTTTCAAAAGAATATCATCCCAACTCTAGAACACAGTGTTGACCTCCCAAATTAATTAAGCAAGCATTGCCACAAAATAAGCATGAATAAAGCCCAAAGGATATGCACAGGGAATCCAGTGGTGATTATCTCTGGATGGTGGAATTATAGGTGATTTTTATTTTCTTTGCACTTTTTCTGAACTCAAATTTTCTACAGCTCACACAATAAAAACAAACTATTTTAAAAAAGAAGACAGAGGGAAAATAAAAAGCAGACAGCATTTGTCACCCAGAGGCCCTGAATACAGTCCCTCCCTGCTAAGAGTTACCTTGAGGATGTTTTGGCACTCAACGAAGTCACTATGGAGGTGGCTGGTGGCATACAGCTTAAGGAGCAATTGAGGAATTCCACTCCATTTGCATTGTTTGTCCCTCTCCGCCAAAAAAGTCTCAGTGAACTGTTAATCAACAACAACAAAAAACAGGAACATTTTACTGGTGAGGAAAGAACTACTAGTAGATATGGCAAAAGAGAGCAGCTGACTTCCAAACCCACCTAGGACAAACAATTCAAAAGCCTCTTTTCAGAAATCTTTAAAAGCTCCCCAATCCTTGCCTTGGGATAAAATACACTTCATAATCTCCTACCTACTTTCATTTCCAGCCTCATCTCTTTCCCAATGCATACTCTAGGTTCTAAATGCATCTGTTCTCTCCTATGCCTCTCTGTACAAGTTCTTCCCTTAACATGTTCTGTTCCCTGTCTTCTACCCAAAATGTTCCTTCTTCAAGATGCAAACCAAACCACCATAAATCTTCTTTGGCCTTACTTATTCTCCTTTCTAAGTGATTAGATGCCTCTCCCTTAGGGCTTTATCTACTGTATAATTTATCCTATTGTATCACAATTAATGGTTCATTTGTCCCCTTCCTCCTCTGGACCACAAACTACTTCAGAGTATGTACCAGGCTGTGTGCCTGTTTTCCCCTCCTTCTCTTTCTCTTCTTTCCCCACCACTCTCAACTCACTCACAAGACTACCTGGCACAGAGCAGGGACTAAGTAAATGTTTGAAGGCATGAACAACAGCAATAACACAATGACAGGAACACTAATCAGTTATGACAGTTTTCACTAACACTTTGGGACATACCATTATCAGGGGCCAGATGTGAAATATTTTCATGTGCATTTATCCCTCAACCAGATCAAAAGCTCCTTGGAACTGTTAGTGCAGGACAAGCAGGTCTTATAACGTTTTAGTTCTATCCTGACACATATCAGTCCTATGATAATGGAGAAGTCCCATTATCCTTTTTGAGCTTGTTTACTCAGATTGTAAAACTAAAGATAATACAGGCAGTAATGGGAGGGAATGAAATGTTTGGGAGAATGATTCATATTAGGGTGAAACATAGGAAATTACCACTTCTGTAGATCAAAAATGACTGAGTATCAGCAATTTCATATTGTTCAAGCAAGCTCAAAAACAATGGAAAAACATCTTTCCTTTCCTTGAAAGGCAAAAAAGAAAACAAACATGGTTATAGGAGCCAGCAAAAGTAGTGCTTACAGAGAAATTTATAGCTGTAAACACCAATACGAATAAGAGATATCATAATTCAATAATCTAAACATCCACCTCTGAAAAACTAGGAAAAAAGGAGTAAACTAAACCCAAAGCGAGCACAAGAAAGGAAGTAAAAAAGATTGTAGCAGAAATAAATGAAATAAAGAACAGAAAAATAATAGAGAAAAATCAATAAAACCAAATAAAATCAAGGTTCTTTAAAAAGATCAACGAAACCGACAAACCTTTAGCTACCAATGACCAACTTATATGATTCAAATTACAGGTTGAACATCCCAAATCCAAAATCCAAAACATTGTAAAATCAGAAACTTTTTGAGTACTGACACGATGCTCAAAGGAAATACTCACTGGAGCATTTTGGACTTTGATTTCTGGATTTGGGATTCTCAACAGATAAATATAATGCAAATATTCCAAGATCTGAAACACTTCTAGTTCCAAGCATTTCAGATAAGGGATACTCAACCTGTAGTGATTAAAAATAGCAAAACCCACAGAGAAAAGTCCAAGTTCAGATAGATGGTTTCAGTGGTATATTCTACCAAACTGTTAAAGATGAATTAACACCAATACTTCAGACTTTTCCATAAAATAGAAGGGAACATTGCCCAACTCATTCTATGAGGCCAGTATTAATTACCCTGATACCAATTCCAGACAAATACATCACAGGAAAACTACAGATCAATATCACCTGTGAATATAGATGCAAAAATCCTCAGCAAAACACTACCAAACTAAATCCAGCCAACATATAAAAAGGATTATATCCCATGATCAAGCAAGATTTATCCCAGGAATGCAAGGAGGGTCCAACATATGAAAATCAATGTAATACAACATATTAATAGACTACAGGACAAAACCCACATGATACATCAATAGATGCAAAAGAAAACGTGACAAAAATCACTCTTTTCATGAAAGAGCCCACTAAACAAGGAATAAAAGTAATTCTTCAATATGTTAAAAGACATTTACAAAAAGTCCATACATAGTTAACATCCTACTTAATAGCGAAAGACTAAGATTGGGAAAAAAACAAGGATGCCCACACTCACTAATTCTATTTGACACTGTGCTAGAAATTCCAACTTGGGCAATTAGGCAAGTAAAAGACAAGGCACTCAGATGGGAAAGGAAGAAGTAAAATTATCTCTATTTGCAGATGACATGATCTTGCATACAGAAAACCCTAAGGAATCCACAGCACAAGAAAAACTATTGGAGCTAATAAGTTCAGCAAGGTTTCAGGATACAAAGATCAATATACAAAATTCAGCTATTATTTCTATCCACTTGTAATAAACAATTTAAAAATGCAATTCCAGGCTGGGCACGGTGGCTCACGCCTATAAATCCTAGCACTCTGGGAGGCCAAGACAGGAGGATTGCTTGAGGTCAGGAGTTCAAAACCAGCAAGAGCGAGACTCCATCTTTACTATAAATAGAAAGAAATTAATTGGCCAACTAAGATATACATAGAAAAAATTAGCTGGGCATGGTGGTGCATGTCTGTAGTCCCAGCTACTTAGGAGGCTGAGGCAGTAGGATTCCTCAAGCCCAGGAGTTTGAGGTTGCTGTGAGCTAGGCTGATGCCATGGCACTCACTGTAGCCTGGACAACAAAGTGAGACTCTGTCTCTAAAATAAAATAAAATATAAAATAAAATATAAAATAAAATAAAATAAAAATAAAAATGCAATTCCATTCCAGAGGAGGGAGGGAGTAAGGTAGGTAGGTCGGTCGGTCCATTTGTAATAGCATCAAAAAGAATACTTAGGAATAAATTTAATGAAGGAGTACACAACTTATACAAAGAAACTACAAATCACCATTGAAAGAAATTAAAGGAGGCCTAAAAAAATGGAAAAACATCTTATGATGATGAGAAGACTTAATATTGCTAAAATGACAATACTCTCCACATTAATTCAATGTGATTCCTACAGAAATACCAGCTGGCTTCACTGCAAAATTGACAAGCTAATCTTAAAATTCTTATGGAATGGAAGGACCCAGAAGAGCCAAAACAATTTTAGAAAAGAACGAAGTTGAAGGAATCATGCTTCCTAATTTCTAAACTTATTACAAGGCTACATACAGTAAGACTGCATGGTGCTAACATAAGGACAGACATCTAGACCAATGGAATAGCACTGAGATTCGAAAAACCCTTACATGCTGATTTTTTGATAAGTGTGTCAAGACTATTCAATGAGAAAAAGAATGGTCTTTTTACCAAATATCACTAGGACAACTGGATATCTATAAACAAAAGAATGAAGATGGACTTTCTCACACCATATATAAAAACTAACATAAAATAAGGTCAGGTGCTGTGTCTCATGCCTGTAATCCTAGCACTCTGGGAGGCCAAGGTGGGTGGACTGCTCAAGGTCAGGAGTTCAAAACCAGCTCTGAGCAAGAGCGAGACTCCGTCTCCACTTAAAAATAGAAAGAAATTAGCTGGACAACTAAAAATATATAGAAAAAATTATCCGGGCATGGTGGCGCATGCCTGTAGTCTCAGCTACTCGGGAGGCTGAGGCAAAAGGATCACTTGAGCCCAGGAGTTTGAGGTTGCTGTGAGCTAGGCTGATGTCACGGCACTCTAGCCTGGGCAACAGAGTGAGACTCTGCCTCAAAACAACAACAACAACAACAACAAAAACACAAAATAGATCAAAAGCCTAAATGTAAGAGCTAAAACAATAAAACTCTCAGAAGAAAATAAAGGTGCAAATTTCACTGCCTTAGATTAGGCAATATTTTCTTAGTTATAACACCTAAAATACAAACAACCACAGAAAAAACAGATAAATTGGACTTCATCAAAGTTTATAACTTTTGTGGGTTTAAGTTTTTGCGTATGCATGAAAACTTTATCAAAGTTATTCATTGAATAAATTCACCCCATTCACAATGTTATCACTTATAACACTCTAAGGTTACTATGCCTTTATTTCAAATTATACTACACATTATTCCCTCAAGATGAACTTTTAAACACCAAAGTCTTGGCTCATAAAAATGGCACCTTCAGAAGGGGCAATTTCCACTCAGTTTTTTGTGGCATTATTCCAGGCTAGTTTCTCTCACTAATTAAAAAAACCTTCAAAATGTTCACTTTTAACACAGAGTCTTTCCATCCAAAAATGTGGCTACATTTTTTTCCCCTAATGACTACATACATAGATGGGTAGTAGAAAGAAAAGAAAGATGAAAACCAAAAGGCGGCCATTAAAATAAATGGATCAGGCCATGCGTGGTGGCTCACACCTGTAATCCTAGCACTCAGGGAGGCTGAGGCGGGAGGATCATTCAAGGTCAGGAGTTTGAAACCAGCCTGAGCAAGAGTGAGACACCTGTCTTCTGCTTAAAAAAAATAGAAAGAAATTAATTGGCCAACTAAAAATATATAGAAAAAATTAGCCGGGCATGGTGGCACATGCCTGTAGTCCTAGCTACTGGGTAGGCTGAGGCAGAAAGATTGCTTGAGCCCAGGAATTTGAGGTTGCTATGAGCTATGCTGACACCACGGCACTCTAGCCCAGGCAACAGAGTGAGACTCTGTCTCAAAAAAAAAAAAAAAAAGTAATTGTATATAAGAAATATTTGACTCATGGCAATTAAAAAATGGCAACTAGGGTATGTTAATAGCCAGGTGCTTGAGTCATCACTGAATATGTTAAGAGAATGAAGCTAGTCCAAGATGACCAAGTGGGAATATACAATTATCACTGAACTTCATTCTTTACAACCAATACTCTCAGCCAACAGGAAATCTAGTTATGTCTAAATTCCCATGTTCAATGATTTTTCCTGGGTTTAGTACATTAGTCATTTTCTTTACTCCAACTT